TTCCTTCCTTCCTTCCTTCCTTCCTCCCTCCCTCCCTCCCTCCCTCCCTCCCTCCCTCCCTCCCTCCCTCCTTCCCTCCCTTCTCTCTTCTCTCTTCTCCTAGGTTGTCTATAACACTGTCTCCCCTGTCTGGGATGACGCTTTCCGCTTTTTCCTGCAAGATCCAACTGTCGAGGACATTGATATACAGGTAAGGCTCCCATTCTCTTCCAGGCCCATCCAGTCATTTTGTGCACATCAGCAGCTGCAGAAATTCTTCTTTTTGACCCCCTAGGTCAAAGATGACAATCGCCAGACCACCCTGGGCTCCCTCACAATCCACTTGTCTCGCCTTTTAAGTGCTGATAATCTGACCCTGGACCAGTGGTTCCAGCTGGAGAACTCTGGACCCAACAGCCGCATCTACATGAAACTCATTATGCGGGTAAAAAGCTTTAGGGTCTGGTAGGGTTAAGGACTTGGGAGATGATACAAAGGTTTTCCTCTCACCTTCAGTTCTAGCTCTCTATAAAAATGCAGTACGTGCAGCAACTTTTGAAATCCATGAAGCATTTCATTTAAAAAAGGAGTTGGAAAAAATGGAGAAAGCCATTGATTCTATATAGTTTCCATTTTGAGTGGGAATCCCATAATTTTTTTTGTTCCCTTTTCCCAACGTGCTACAGAGAGTGATTTCTTGTGGGTATTGGCACAATGGAAGTGGAAGATGGCACATTTCCCCCCTGAGATTTTGGTTTCCTGTGTATCTCTGAGCAGCATCAGGGGCCAGTAGAGAGCAGTGGGAAAGAGACCCGCCTCTTAAGGTGTAAGAAATATGATTTGCAGAGATTCAAATGATCCTTCTAACCGGTTCTCAAATCCTGGCTTTAGGTGATACGGAAGAGCCAGGCCTTAATCTCCCAGTAGCTTCGTCTACTAGGAATAATTGTTTGTCTCATTATTCCCCTCTTCACATTAGCTTAAACAAATCTCCCCATTTAAATGCTGCTAGCCGCAGAGTGAGAAAACTAGGCAGATGCAATACCTTTCTCCTTCTATAGCTAGGAGCAGTTTCACAGGGGTGTGGGGGTGGAGAGTGGCAGGGAAAGTAAGGACAATTCTTTGGGGAATCCTATCCTTCTGGTAGCCCAGGAATCCTTCCCAACCACAACTGCTTTGAGGAAAAAAAAAAAGTACGGGGAGGTTCTGTTGTAAATTTCTTGCATAATATTTTTGGTGGCCTCATTCTCTTAACTAAGGATAAAGGGGGCTTCTTTACCTTCTACTGCTAGTTATTTTAAATATTGCACTCCACAGGGCTGGGCAGTGTGTCTAGCCTGGCCACATAAGCAACCTCAGAGTTATGCCTCAGCATCCAATCTGACATGATGTGCTGGTCCAACTCCATTGGTGACAAGTCCAAAGTTGGGCCTGGCAAGAACTGGAGTCATTAACACAAATCTGGAAGCCAGAGGTTAAACAGGATCTACTGGTAGACTGAGATCAGCTGGTGGCAAAGAGCTGGACACAAGATCCTTGGGATTTCTCAAGGGGCTCAAGGAACATGTCACTTTAGCCAGGAGCTAGACTCATGCACTGCAGGAGATCTTTGGATACCGCTTTTGAATCAGCACCTCTGCAATCAAACTCCTGTTTGTCTTAGCCCAGCTCTGTCTGGCTCTATGGTTCACTCTGCTGTGGGAGGCAAGAATGTCTCTTCACTAGAGGTTTTCAAGCAGGGACTGGATTCACGTTTTTCAGAAATACTTGATTTACTTGTAATTGTTTCTAATTTGGATTCCTGTACTGATCAGTGGTTTGGACTTGATTGCCAAAATGGCTTCATCTCATTCCAGAATTCGATGTGTCCAGGTTTGCAACCAGGCTCGTGTAGACAATAAGTGGCAGATATTACAACTTCATTATTGGGTTGAGGACCAGCGGTTCCCCAGCTTCTCTTTGCCTGGATGCCTATCCTGACTTTCTATGACATGCTATAATTTCTGCAGGTATTATATCTGGATGCCCCTGAAGTGTGTTTCAATACCCAACCACGTCCCCCAGGACATCTGAATGTCACAGAGAGTCCCCATCTTGGTAGCAGTGTCGATGTGCCTTCTCGGCCGACCAAGGCCAGCCCAGATGCTGCTTTTGGCACCGAGGTAAGGTCACGCGTTCCCCCCACCCAACCTTAATAGTCAGTCCTGCCTTTTGGTAAGATAGGGGACCCTTCTAAGCTGTCACTTCAAACTCAGAGGCAGACCAGATTTAGGGTTCTTTATGGGTGTTAGCAGTCTAAACATATATAACTCGGTGATTAAGACAGGACAGACACTGAAGAACAAGCGAATCTGCAACTTGTCAAAATGACATCGCAACTCACTTTTATAAAGGAGAGCATGGAATTCCTTCGTTAAGTCTTGCTATTTTTACAGAAAATGTGGACAAAGTTTTAATCAACTGAACTATTAGCCAACTCCAGTTATGCTATTCATGTTGTGACCCCAAAGCCTCTTCTTAACTGATCTCAAAATAACCTAACCCAGCTGCCATGAAAACATAAATAGTTTTGCTATTAGTAAAAATAAGAACATAAGCTTCCTGTAGTCATTTGGCTGGCGCTGTGGGATCAGGCTAAAAGTCTTCTGTTTCTTATAGTGGCCAGCCAGAAGTCTCCAAGAAGCCCTTAAGCACGTGCTGAAAACAACAGCTCTCCCCAACCTGGGTGCTCTCTAAATTTGTGGGCTTCAGTTCCCAGAATTCTCTTGCCAGCTTGGCCATTGCTAAGAATCTTGGGAGTTGATGTCCACATGTCTGGAGCTGGTCAACCAGGTAGGGAGACGGGTCAGCTGCCTCTGAATATGAGAGACAGTGAAGAAAGTAACTTATTGCAGTTGTCTTTTCATAGCCATGGTAGCAAAAATAAGACAGCTGAATTTATTAGTCAAGACAATTTTTAGAAAGCCGAAACAAATAAATAAAAGAAAACAAAATGCATAGTAATAACTCCGTTTACTGCTATAGAACTTCCAAATCTGTTTGAAAGCAGATTTTTAGCTGCAGATTGGAAGTTTTTTGCCGGTCATCTACAACAAATAGCTTATTTCATATTTAAACCAGGTTGCTGTCTGCAGCATCAGAAGGCTATAAATCTGTAACTTGTGTCACGCCTAATATTTATGTATTTTGCACACAGCAAAATAGCAACTTCAAAGTTATAGTATGTTTTTAATCAGGGAACCAGGTTTGGGGGGGCGGGGGGAGAAGCACTGTAATTCCAGTGGATGCAATCAGAGATTAGGCCTGATTGCAGTGCTCTCATTATAGCCTGCTCCTCCCTAGATAAAGACTTGTGAAGCTGTGTCTCTGATTATGGTCTAATATTCTTGTTATTGCCTTTTATCACTGCTTCACATTTTGCAGACTGCTTCACTACAGTCGCTGTGGTTTTTATTCCATTGTGTTTCTCCATTCTAAAGGGGCAAGGGGAGAATACAGATCTTAATAAATAAATAAAGTAGTGATCATAGTTTTAAGAAGTCTGAGAATTGTATCATAGATTTCGGACATCACAGCAAACTTGTCAGCCCTACAGAGTAGACCAGACAAAGAAACCAATGGCATATAGGTCAGGACTACTTTTATGGTAACAGCTACAGTAACAGAACCTTGCAGGTCTGAATGTGCTTCCCCCTCCCTCACTTTATCTTTGTATGAACTAGGGAGGGGCCTATCTGAGATGTTTACTCAAATGAGTTTCTTGGAATGGGCTCAAGCCCTGGTTATCTGACTGTTCCCTTGGTAGCAACTCTTCCTCCTGTCCTTCAAGGCCATTCCCTATTCCCTCTATAAAACTTGACTCATTTTGTTGTTGACAAAATTCTGTCTGACTTTAGGAAAATTAAATATATTGCAGAAGCTGGGCATTCAATATCTTAACTGATTCTCTTCCTTCTTCCATCCTGTTTGAAGAATGTTGAAGTGCTGTAGTTAAAACCAGGAAGATTTAAGAAATCCAGGGAAACCAGACTAAGACTCATTATGTTGGAGGATGATGATGATGATGATGATGATGATGATGATGATGATGATGATGATGATGATGATAGATCTGGCATGCAAACTGTATCTCTTCAGAGTGTAATTCGCATTCACTTGCTGGAAGCGGAGAACTTAATTGCCAAGGATAATTTCATGGGCGGGATGATTAAGGGCAAGTCAGACCCTTATGTCAAAGTGCGCTTGGGAGGCCAGAAGTTTCGCAGCCGAGTCATCAAGGAAGAGCTCAACCCTCGCTGGAGTGAGATCTACGAGGTAAGGATCCTCCCCAACACCTTCCACGCATATATTAAATTGTATCCTACTGGACCTCTTACCATTGATTGCTGGGAAGAGTTGGATTTGGTGGGGAAATATATTTATACTATACTTTAGGACCATATATTTGTACTGTACCTGACATTGTAACTGAGATCCTGTCTGGGCAATGGAAAGTAGACAAATGATTCTTTTTCAAACATGACTGACTGAATACAGGCATACTTCATTTTATTGTGCTTCACTTTATAGCGCTTTGCAGATACTGCATTTTTGTTTTTGTTTTTTTTACAAATTGAAGGTTGTTAAGCGAGGACTACCTGTAGGTAACCAGTAGCCAATCCCCATCTTCCTCACAAACCTGAACCTTGGGTTGATAATTGGAAGGGATATTTCTTTATTTTACTGGATAGGTATGTCTAACCATTTAATTGACTAAACATGTGACTTTATGTCGACTCTTTCTCCCTCCAAAAAAGTAGGGCCAATATCCAGTATTTGAGGTTCCTTCTCCTAGCTTTTCCACAGTTGGCTTAATACACTGAATCATCCCAAAGCTGAAATCAGAACAAATCTTGGCTTCCACTCCTATTCCACTAAAGGCTACTCCTGTTCTATTGCTTTGATTTGTGCTACTGGCTTGTGTTCTTCTGTGCAACAGCCCAATTTTTCTTCTAGGTCATTGTGAGCAACATCCCAGGACAGGAGGTAGAGTTCGACTTGTACGATAAAGATGTTGACAAAGATGATTTCCTGGGGAGGTAAGTTTACAGCAAGGAAGAAAATCGGACAAAAGCATTCACTGCTCTCTCCCTCTGAATGGGAAGCCAAAGAAGGCACTTGGATATCCCAGATTCCCCATGGAATAGAAGAGAATATCCCTATTCCTTTCCTAAAGATTTAATCTCACGGCCAGATTTGTCTACTCTTTTTTGGCAGAGAAGGTTAGTCCTGTAGAGTTGGGCCTCTCACTCAGCATCCAGTGATTTGCTTTTGTAAGGAAGAGGTAGAGGAAAGACAGACTTTCCTTAATGCTGTGATCTTCTCTCTCATAATTTTCCCCTTCCCCAGATGCAAGATCCCTTTGAAGCGTGTGCTAAGCAGCAGGTTTGTGGATGAGGTAAGACTGTGTGTTGCCGTGGATAAGGGGTTGGACTAGGACTGAGGAGATCCAGGTCAAATCCACCCTTAGCCAGGGAAAGTCACTGGGTGACTTTGGAGCACTTGCTCCCTCTCGGGCCAATTTGCCACACAAGGATGTTCATGTCTAGATAACAGGAAAGGAGCTTCCCATGGAAGCCACTTTGAGCTCTTGAAGGAGAGGAAGTGTATAAATCTCACCAAAAACTAAATAAAAGGAAACTCTCTTAATGGTATTGGGGAGGGCAAGGGCATGCTGATCTGCCACCATTCACTCTTACCTCCTTCCTGTTTCAGTGGCTCCCCCTAGAAGACGTGAAATCGGGACGTCTCCATGTGAAACTGGAGTGCCTGCCCCCTATGCCCAGTGCTGCTGAGCTCGAGCAGGTAATGGAGGCCATCAAGGAGGAGGTTGGCATGTAGGGTTGGCTGGAATTGGGAGGTGGGGAAGAAAGCTCTCCATTTTTAAAGAAGCTAAACTGTTCAGATACAATAACAATAACAATGTTGTTCCCACAATTTATGGTTCCTTCTCAGATTTTCCTCTCTAGGAGAACAAGTCAGCCTATTGTGAATGGGTGTGTTTATATTTTCTCATCTCCCTTTGATGGGTTATGAAAGGCATGGTGAAAACCAGAATCAAAGGTGATGCTGTACAGTAACTGAATGCCTTCACAGAGGCATCAACAAAACTCTCTTCTTTTGCTTTGCTTGTTTTGCCAGACTGTGATCAAAGCCAGACCTGCTGCTCAGACAGTTGGAAAGCTGAGGGACACTGGAGCTGGGGGAGGGGTTATGGGTCATCCACAGACCCTAAGCTGTGAAGTTGGGAGGAAGCATTCTCACTGCCACCTCCCTGGCTTTGATGGTGGGTGGAGTCGAGCAACCAACTAGCGACCGATCATCACCTCAGATCCTCCTGCTGGCAGCCTTTTCTCTTGGATACAGAAAGGGCTATTTTATGATGAGCCATTGCATGATGTGGGTTACCAAGGTCTTGTGTAATAATTGTTGCTTTGAAAGGAACACATGGAAGAAATAAACCCACTCATTGGCTTTCTTTCAAAGTGTTCTCTGGTGGTGGGTGGTAATACATCTAAATATTGCCCTAACTGTTGAGCCCCTCTTGCAGGTTCTAAGAGTGAACAGCTTAATCCAGACCCCAAAGAGTGAAGAACTGTCATCTGCCCTTCTCTCTGTCTTCCTTGACAGGGCAACTGGGTTGCCAGTGAGTATCAGTAGAATATTTCTCTGTCCTCTGCATCTTAGTTCTCCAAGTGGCTATGGCAGCTAGGTAATCCGTGACCAGAAACTCAGAGTTGCTGATATCATCTGAGCAATGCAGTGGAGAGAAACACTAGCAGAAACTAGTTTGGAACACTGTATTTCATTGACCAGGAACACTCAGCCATAGATCCAGAGCCTAATTAATCCAGAGATTAACCCTGTTCGCAAACAGCAAAGGCGGCTGTTTTTTTAGCTAAACTCTAGGAAGGATGAGTGAAGTCTGGTCCTTTCTCCATCCAATTGTTTTGTGCTCATTTGCTTTAATCTAGCCCTTCTCTTTCTCGCGCCCTCTGGTATAATTCCTGTAATTTGGTTCTGTAATTCCTAGAAGTATCAGCCACTATAGCCAGTAGGAATGCGGGAATCATAGTCCCAGAACACGTGAGACTTCCACATGAGAGAAGGTTGGTTTGAGTAGTTTTCCGGTACAAATACAGGAAATGAACTAGGCTGCTAAAAAAAAAGCGATTCAAGCAATAATGTACAATGAGATGAAGGACAAGCGTGGATTTACTCCTCTGTACTGTAAAGGTTGAAATTAATTGTTTGCTTTTAATATCTCACATTTTAATTTTGATCTTGATTTTAATGTTTTTTAATTGAAAACCACCCCAAAACAGCTTAATCACTAAATACATATACACAGTGAATTCCATTCCATATAAAACATAAAGTACTATTTCCATTTATAAGTGAGCAGGTCAGACATAGGATTACATGGCTGCCCCATCACTTGCATTTTGGCCCTCCCTGGAGCAGCCTTAGATAAGTCACTCAGTTTCCCCTCCTGGGGATTTAAAAGTAGATGGATTTTAAAGTAGATTTTAAAAATAGATCTAAAATGGGTTTAAAAGTAGAATTTTACAGACACATTGCACTTACTCCTGGATATATTAAAAAGGGAAAAGGAATAGACTGACTTGGTCAAAATTGTTCTGTAGGCTGCTTGAGGATAACAAAAAGCCCACTACTCACAGTAGCCCTGAACAGATTACTGATTTACATCACTGTTGGTGTGGCTGTGATGATCTGCAAAAAGAGGTCAGAATCTCAGTTCTGTGGCCATGAAATGCAGATTCAAAGCAAGCAATGCCTAGGAATCTATCTTCATAGAATAGTTACAAGGGACAGGAAGAGGCAGAGATGTTGGGAAGAAACCAGAATGCTGCATCGAGTGCCATTCTCTGCAACCAAGTTCTATAATCCCGATTGTGTTGTTGTGCTAAAAACACATTTCTAACAATGGAGTTGGGGGGGCGCGTGTGGAGGAGAAAATGGGCTAACATTTTTGATAAAGGTATTTCTGGTAGCTGATTTTGAGCATCTGTGGCAATATGGGGACCAGAAGCCCTGCGGAAAGGTTGGCTGAAAGGGGAAGTTTTAACATCATCTAAGCAAGTGGCTGATCCCCCAAAGCTAAACAGGGTCAGATCTGGTTAGTACTTGGATGGGGGACTGCCAAGAAATTCCAAAGCTATAGACTAGACTGGGAAGCTTTAGGCCTCCTAGAAGAGGGCACTGGCGAGCCATTTCATACTGAAAGCTACATGGATGGGCCCATGACTTCACCAGGAGTTGAGCCTGACTGGCACAAGGCTTACTTTTATATAGGATATTGCATACAGAGTAGTATCAGGAATTGCATTGTATATCAAGCATCCTCGTGTGATAGCAATCCCTCCTCTTCCGTTCCCATGGCTCCCCTCATCCGCACAATGGCAGTTCTGCATGCAAATATTTCTCTTCTGCTCTGCCAGCGTGTGAGCAATACTGAACTAATATCAGAGAGACACCAGATTAAAATGGACCCTGTCCTTCTGTGGGCACAAAACGGCGCATCCTGTGAATACCCCAGATAACAGAATATCGACCATTTTCTCTTTCCCATTTCACCAGCTGCGGAAGGGATCGAAACCTCCAAGTCCTTCCGTCACCCTCTCTGTCCGAGGTGTCTCCTATAAGACTAAGGTAAGGACATGGGGAAGAAGGAAACGGTCATGCTGAAAGTGGGTAGTAAATCATGGCTTTGGAATAGAGCAGTGTTGTCCAAACCTGGCCACTTTAAGATGAGTGGACTTCAACTCCCAGAAT